TAGACAAAAACGTTATAATTTTCTTGAACTATACTTGTTTATATCTTTTTTTAAGTTAAACATGAAACTTAAGATTTTTTGCATTATTCAGTTTAAATTTACCTTTTCGAACCATTTATAGAAAGTACTATTTACTACTTTATATACTATTTATATGGCTTCATTTATTTATTTTACTTTTCAGAGTTTCAGAGAAAAGTTATGGTCAAACTTGCTGAAATTAACATTATAAATTAACATTAACTGAATAAACATTTTAGTAAATAAAACTGCACAGTTCTCTAATGATCCAGAAGGTTATAAACAACTTAAAAGTTCAGATGAACTTAATGTTTTGAAAAGAAAAATTGCAAATGGAGATATCCAATACATCACTTATGTGTGCATGAATTATATCTTTATAGTTTATATATTATTACAATATTTCTTTTGAATTGTCATGAACATTTTCAATGTTTCTTTTGCATTATTTCTTTTTAGTTAAAACAGTTATCATTAATTGGAGGTAAAAATTCAGTTGATACAATTAAAAATATTTTGCTCTTGTAAGTAATTAGCATAAGTTTGAATTTTAACATTTATGTTTGACAGCATGACATTTATCATATTTTTTATATGTAGACTGACAACAGATACTATTTTCAGAATGCAGCATGAATGGTCTAAAGAAGAAAAAAAAGTTTAAAAAGTTGACAAGTCTATGTATTGCTATCACTGGTATTCTTATTAGCTTATTATTGTGTTTAATTTACTTTTAAAATTAAAAACGATCTTTTAATAAAAAAAAAAATTTTCTCAATTTTTTTGGCTATGAAACATGACATATTTTATTTTATGATCTTATTGAACTATGTCTTGTTGTTTTTATTAGATGCTGCTTCAAAGTCAAATAAAAGCTTAACCAAAATAGAGCTTATTGGGAGAATAATTAGGCATTCTTCTGACCGATTCGAGAGAAAATCCACCAATATCCATATTGATCAATGATGGCTTAATTAACTTCAATCAACTGTTGTGTTTTTTGTTTATTTTGCATTTTTCAGTAATTTTCTTTTTACTTATAATATACTATCGATTATACTCTACAAAAAATATTAGTTTTTAATTTGGAAAGTGTAACTTTGTTTGAATAATTTTTCCAAGTTTTTATAAAGTTAATAATTTATATTAAATATATGAAATTACACTTTATGAACTTTGATTTCTCTTTATACCTTCACTTGCCCTCTAAGGTGTGTATTGTATATCATTGCATTTTTATATAACTTTTAAAAGAATGTCTTTATAACAACTTTGTAAACTTCTTCTTCCACTTGTTAATTTCCAAGAATCGAATTTTCAAACAGTTGACGTCATTCACCTTCTTTTCGATCAGATGCACTCTTTAAAATATTGCCACCAGCATTTAAAGTTTTTTTTTGCTGTAGGAATCAGGGAAGTAGTCTTAACCTTAAAACAATATTGTTTAGATAAGTATGTAAAAATAAAGGGGAAAGAAATAAATAACACACACACACACATATATATAATTATTATTTTATAAACATAACATCAAACATCAAAAAATACGAATTTCTCAACACTAAATTCATTTTTTTAAAAAAATTTTTGACTGGATTGTTGTGACCAGCGAATATATTTATGTATATCAAGTATGCAATATAATTGCGGTATTAAAAATGCTCTTTTTATAGTAAAATTATACTTACTTTGAAAGCATGCTCTTCTCAAATGCACTGCATGATGAGCCACCAGCATTTAATAACTTCTATTTCTAAATTCAAAAGATAACACTATTGTAATTGGTATGGGACAATTTAGTGTAAGTTATATTAGGCAAAGGAGCAATTCATTAGTGTTTTATTCAATTCAAAAATTTTGTGTAAATTATGAATATTTGTAAACTGAGCATTATGTATATAATTACAGATCAAAATTTTTTATGTAATTGACCTTTATAAAAAAAAACTAAACATTTAACCATAATAAAAAATATACTACTTTTTGCAACATTAGTATCGAGAAATGATTGATCAAATTCAAGAAACTTGGCGATAAAATCATAATAGTAAAGATCAAAACTATTCTAAACTTTAAACGTTTTTTATATTTCATTATTCTTAAGATAAGTAAGTAAATGAATTAAAGACAATATATTAGTTAATTAAAAAACAATACGCTATTATAATTTATATATATATAAATTATAATAGAAAAAATATATATTACATCTTCGCTTCCTACAAGGCTGCGAACAACCACTATAAGAGTTTGGAAGTTATTGGAAGAAAAAAGATTAAGTTCGTAGAGCAAGATAACGATAAAAGCAAGATAATAATTGACAGATGACTTAAAAGATTGCAAATTATATGAATCAGGGAAGCACGATGAAGGAAGCAAATTCCTAAGAACTGATAATCGAAGAAAAAAACTAGCTTTAGAGCAGTGCCCATTATAGTATTTGTAGAAAAGAGAAAAAGAAGCAACATCACGACGATGTGACAATGGTCGGAGATTGACTGCACAAGCAGGTTCAACTATGTTTACAATGCGTTATTGCACCTTGTCTAAAAGAGAAAGAGCATCAATAGAAGATCTGCCCCAGATATGGCAACAGTATTCCATACAGGGACAGATTTGAGATTTATAGAGATAGAGAAGAGAATCTAGAGTAAGGTAGTGTTGAGCTCGATAAAGAGATGCAACCTTAGCAGATGCTAATTTTGCAATGGATTTGATATACGGTTTGAAAGAAAGATCAGAAGTAAAAGTTTATCATAGAAGGTGAAGGGTATATGACTTATCTAGTACATTACCATTCATAAATATAGGAACATCTAAATTATTGCGATAACAATTGGCCGAAAAAAATTGAGTTTTATCTGAAATAAAGTTCACCAGCCATTGTGAGCCACATGCTGTAGCAGAGGTGAGATCCTTTTCAAGCTCAGATACCCCCTCCAAGCAATCAGAGAGTGTAGGCTTCTTATCATGACAAGAATAAATAGTAGTGTCGTCAGCGAACAATGCCACCTTAGATGTGATAATATCTGGAAGATTGTTAATGTAAATTAAAAAGAGTATAGGGCCAAGGATTGAACCTTGAAGAACCCCTGTAGTTACAGGATATGAAGAAGATATATATATATATATATATATATATATATATATATATATATATATATATATATATATATATATATATATATATATATATATATATATATATATATATATATATATATAATATATATATATATATATATATATATATATATAACTTAAAATTTTACTAACTACATCTTTCGAAAGGAAATTCTAAAATGTTCTTTTTTTCTTTCTGAATTGATTAGGTACCTATTTTGAGTATTGAGAAGTATTACAAAAAATAAATTTATTAAGATAAAAGGCCTAGATAGTTAAAATAACTTCCAAGATAGTTATTACAAGAAAAAATATTACTTACATTATTCTTTGTAAAACTTTAAGATTTATCGTTGACTTCATATATTTTCTCTAACTTTGTTTTGGGAAAAGCAAAATTTTGAATCACAGACTTTCAAATTTTGGAGGAGCTAAATGAATTAAAGAAGTTGTTACTAATAAAAATTCATTAGGCATATTACATAAAATAAATTATATTGCATTAACCATTACATAAAATGAACTATAGCCAAAACCATTGTTTTATTTTTTTAAAACTGAAAGCAAAAATAAAAATGAACTTTAGGGTTAAATACATTTAATCAAATAAAATTTCTTTAATTTAAAAACAAAATTAGATACAAAAACTACAAACACATCAATTCTAGATTCCTAAATGCATATTTAAATAAATGCAAAATGAGTTTTTGAAATACAAAACAAACGTTGACGCTACTAAAAATAAAATCTTAATTAACTAGTAAATAAAATTTATGGAAAAGTAAAAAATACTCTTACAAGTGTTATTTTTTTAGCATTAGCATTTTTTATTTTTTATTTTTTTTAATTTTTCTGTTCAACTTTAAATTGTATCTAATTGATGTTTCACACTATCTATTTCTAAATTTTAACTAATACTACAAATTCTACTAATTTTAACTAATAATAACTAATAGTTCTAAATTTTAACTAATTCTAATAATTTTGAACTTTAGCAAAACTCATTTTTATTTTATTTGACATATATTTTGCATTTTTACTATTAAAACTGACGCTATAAGTCAGGATTTTAAGGAGACATTTTTCTATTATTTAAAAAGATTTGGTCACGAAAGTCAATTTTTTGAAAGAAAAAATAGAAGAATTAAGGAGAAAATAACTGCATTGAAAACAGAATCTTATTTTTTTAATAAATTTTAAATAAAAACAGAAAAATTATTATAAATTAACATATTACTTTTATATAAATATTAAAAGCCAAATATTTGCCAAATAATTGCCAAACTTTTTTTTCTTAATTCCAAGGGTTGTGTGTGTGTGTGTGTGTGTGTGTGTTTATATATATATATATATATATATATATATTATATATATATATATATATATATATATATATATATATATATATATATATATATATATATATATATATATATATATATATATATATATATATATATATATATTATATATATATATATATATATATATATATATGTATATATATATATATATATATATATATATATATATATATATATATATATATATATATATATATATATATATATACAACAGAAATATAGGTTTGCAATCAATCAAAGGACTATATAATTTCTTTATTAATAAGTATAATCCATTTACTTTAATAAAATTTCTTAGATGATAAAAAAAAAGAGGAGAAATTAAGGAGAGTTTCTCATCGGTTACTTAGTAAATTGCCAATAACATTTCAACACGTGATATAGTGGTTATTCATATGTTAGGCACTTTAGGCTGCTGTCACATAATAAATTAATTCCATCTTTAAATATATTTTTCTTATTCTTATTTAAGTTGGATAAGTTACTAAAATA